AAACTATCAATAAACATTAGAAAAAGTACGCCATTCCGACAGAAAAGCTACAAGCAGTGTGAAGAGGGAAGGAGCAAGTATCCATTCAAAACAGCCTCTGGGATGAGAATCGAATTCAGGACCTCACGAATGTGAAGCTGACCCCTCACTCCCACTATGTGCCAGACAGGGAATAAATCATACATAAGAAAGAGGGGAACGTAAAAAAAAAAAATCACAAATAATACTGTAAATAATAAAAACCGACTAAATTATAACCACAGACAGAAGAAGACAATAAAATAGAGCCAGATTAGCCTCATAGGAAATAGTTCCAGTCACAGAACGGAGACCTCTCAATAAAGAATAATTGGAATTAGACTCATATTAATGTAGTGACTGACATAACCTAGTATTTGTTCAAAGCATTCTTCAGCATCTTAATTAAACTTTGTGGCATATTGCAGGAAACTCTGTGCAAAAAATCATGGACACGGGTTTCTCGTAATGACTATACCACGACTTGACAGCGCTGGAAGATGAATATCCCGAGACTACATGCGCGCCTACATACGCGTTTAGCTAATCATAAAAAATGAGCCCGTTTTTGTGGAGCATTACCGCTACTGCAGAAGCATGAGGGGAGTATATTTTCCGCTGGCTCTACAGCTTCTTTGGGCCCTCGCCTCTGATTTTCGGTTTCATGATCATTTTACAGATGGTAGGACTCCTTGGACGAGTGATCAGCTCGTCGCAAGGCCTCTACCTAAGCACAGGACAATATAAACGCAGAATAAACACACATTTCAAACATTCATACCTTGTGTGGGATTCGCACCCACGATTCCGGCTTCCGAGCGAGAGAAGACAGTACATACCTGAGACCGCTCGTCTGCCGTGACCGGCTGTGGGGAGTATAATATATTTATAAAGATTAGTCTCAGGTTTTGGAAGGTATGATGCGATTCTTATTCAATATAAACTAAAGGATATTTATTTTTAAACTTGTGCAAATGTTGTTTCGTTATTATTGCTGCTGGCTTATTCATTTCTAGACTCCTGCCGATTCAATTGTCTTAATGCTAAGCAAACTGGCGTGATGTGTTCTCCTAGACTTTACGCTAAATGAGTATGGCTGCACTGCGCAACAGAAGAGTAGACATGTTGTACATACTGATCATAGTTTAGCAAGGATGATTACTGGGACATTTCCTCTTTGCACACGGACTAATCTCTTTGACTTACACGATAAAATTAATTACGGAGCATGGAAATGTTTAAGTACTTGGCAGATTGCTCAGATATGGCACATCATGTCACGTGAGGATACCGACCGGTACATTCCACATGCCCAGGGGGGACACTAACCTGGGGGTCCTGTGTTTGCACAGCTGTAGGCAAAGCGGCCACTGCGGTCAACATTCCCACATCAGAGAGAAAGGTAAAGATGTCCTGCACATAATTAAGTGACGTATACGATAGAGAAGTAACAGGTCGACGGAAGCTTAAAGACGAAGTCAACAATTTCTGCCCCAGCCTTAAATCGAAACCAGGCCGTATAGCCTACAGAATCCTGCAACATTGATTGAGCTACCCCAGTTCATTTCAATAATTTAATTAAATGATTCTGTATTTAATTACACTACACGCACCTAAGCGCCTTCTCTGTCTGTGTCTGAAGATACGGTTGTTTCTTACTACATTTCATATTAAAGCACAATTTTCATTGCTGAAGCCCGGCATATATGGTAGGAGGGTTAACCATGCCCGATGTTTTCGAGCCTAAAGACTTTCCCACTATTTTTTAATATTGTGACGTGCCGGCAAAAAGGACAGAAAACACGTCCACTGATAGGCAACGGCTGCGAAAAACATGGATAATTCAGTGGAGAAGCAATGCTAGCAGATCGTTTTCTAGGAATAGTTATAACAACAAATACGTTTCCCCGGAAATGGAAGGATATCTATCGAAACAAATACTACCAGCGAATAAAACGGAATCCTTGAAAACGATGTTCACTAGTCAGTCCGACAGGACGTTACAAGAATCCAGCTTCGATGAGACCAGTCAGTTTTTAGTGTAGCTCCGACTAGAGCAGAAGCCAGCTCGCATCCGACAAAGGGATCAAGATACTTCACCGTGATTAGCGCTGCAAGTAATTGTGATAGTGAAGTTGTGAATGGTTGTACTTGCGAGTGTAAAATTCGCTGTCCAATAAGCGTCTTAGCCAAATCCGAGACCCGCTTGAATTTACTTGTGGCGTTACATAGGCAACACGCGACAACTGGTGTCAGAAGTGGTATGGCTCGGATTCTAAAACAAGTAATTGGACCAAGAAAACTAGTACAACACCACGCAGCGCAGAGGAAAAACGCCATATTATGGACATGACGAACCTGGAACAGATGATGCGACAGCTTCTGGCCCAGCAGGCAAAGACAGACGCCGATAAGAGAGCCGGCCATGAACGAATGATAGAAACAAATGGACGCCAATAGGACCGAGATGAATGGAAGACCTGGCGAGAAGAAATACGCTTTATGCCGCCTGAGACAAAGGATATCCGAGATGAGACGATGATCTGCCGAGAAACAATATCTATATTAGATATGGTGATATTCAAGTGAAGAAGAATGTGGTTGCTGGACCACAGAGCAGAATGCGAGGGGTGAGAAGACCATGGAAAACTGTTACCGCGAGACCGTGAAGTGATATGTTGGTGTAGACTGGAGGGTAATAATGAAATGGATCTTAAAGGAAGTGTTTGAGAATGTTGAGAGGATTCACTACGCTCAGGATAGGGATCAACGGCAGGCTCTTCTGAACACCATAATGAAATTTCGAATCTCCACAAAAGGCGAGGTATTTTTGGGTACGTAAGTGGCTGTTAGCTTCCCAAGAATGATTCAACTTATCGGACTTACGTGACTAGTTAAGATAGAGATATATATTTTATAGAATGGGAATAATTTTATCCCATATGTTGTAAATATGAAGCTAAATTTGAAGTTAATAAAAAAATATAACATTTAATTTTAATTTTCTTCTATGCGTAGTTTATAGCATTAATATTGTCACGTGTTGGGTATGTGTCACGCGACAAGTAACTTCACTCCGTTTTGGATCTAGCGAATTTATTGCACATTCGCTCTTACACTTACACAATTTACAGTTTCACAACTACTGCCATATGTAGTATCAGCATTACTCTTCCTGCTGTAGTCACTTCAATGCGCTCGATACAACTCAACTCGTAGTTGCTGGACTTCAATTCATACGGGATACCTCGAATACTAACTGGCTTCGGCGGCTGCTACAATTCAACTAACTGCTTACGCATTCCAGTCTCCCTTATAAATCCTCAGTCGGACAGCGGAAAACTCACCTCGCTTCACTGTTGCGTAAACGTTGTGTTTACAGGTTCAATTCGGCTATACTCGGCACGGCACGGAGAAACATCGCTTTCCTTATTGTTGCGTAACTTGGCAACCGACCGTTTATCAAGGGTCTGTCTTCGTGGTAACTCTTTTCACCTCCCATTGCCCAGAAACGGTTAGACATGTCACAATATATAGTATTCAATTCAAGAAAATTACGTTTCTTCACCTTTTCTTCTGAAAGCCTATTATTATTCATTCTTTCGAGGCACTATTGTGACTTTTATCTGTTACGGAGTGCCTTGTTGCCTATAAGTCACTAGACATTCTTTTCTCGTTCTCTTCCTCAGGAAACTACCCCAGTGTAGCGCATAACACGCGCAACCTTTCTCGTTAAAGGGCAGAGACCACCATGTGATTTCCAGGCAAGAGAAATATGCAGAACGCGTTTGCTTAGAGGCTCTACACAGCAAACATTTCAGATATACGTATAGGAGTAATAGCAGAAAGCATTCAGCCAACTTATAGGCCTAACCTGAAACACGCTGCGCTGATTTTAGTATCCATTGTACACAGTTCTGATGAATAATGAAGTTTCTTCTGGTGCTTGGAGATTATTAATTATTTTGAAAGGTGGAAGTTCATTATAACGCACATAGTCGTGCTTTTCTTACTCTTAGACGTGATCGGAATATCGAAATTTCATAACCGTGCATACAGTGCCCTTTCTAAACAGTTAACTTTACAGCACAGTAAGGAGCCTGCGNCAGCGCAGCGGATTCTCACGGCCGTTAATCTCGGTTTTCTAGACCGTAGTCGCTATTTCCTTGAAATAGATCCTCAGTTATCCTCATGAGGGTGAGTGGACCCCGTTCCAGACCAACTACTTCTCAGAAAATTTGGTAGCGCCGAGAATCGAACCCGGGACCTCTGGATCTGTAGGCATGACCTCTGATAACCAGACAACAGAGGCGGTCAAATGGAAATATGTAGCTGTTTTAATTTTGATATGTTTTTACATATCCTTGCGCAAGACAGGTACTTAAAATCCTTGAACAAAGTATTAGGTTGGGGGAATAGCTTGAACATCCAAACCGATAGTCAAATCTTACAGCTTAAAGTTAGAAACAAGAAAAATTTATATAATTTTATACATACACTATTTTTTTCCAGAGATATGAACAACAGAAATATCGCAACTCATTTACTGTTATAAAGATGCCACATTAATTTGATTAAATGTTTCAACATCTGAGTCCAGGATGCTATTTCTCGATATTTCATTTCTCATTATTATCTTCAAGAACAAACACTGTTGCTCATCCATTTACGATATCCTTAGTTTGCAGGAACCAATTCAGATAAACGGAGAATTTTTAATTTTTTATATAAGCCAACACACAAAAGTTAATCTTTCAAGCAGATGCATTTCTGAGGAAAATGTCGCCTACAAATAACCTGAATTGTTTAATAGACGATACATTTCTTTAACTGATATCATTAAATACATTAACAACACCTGTATGATATTTATGGTTTTCGTTATTTACCCTAATATTAATTATATTATTTATTTTTAGCACTTGTTCTTTGTGTATTTCCCTTCTTCTTTGTAGACACCTACTGAAAACTTCTGNTTAAAACCCGATTACATTTGTATTATAAATAAGCGAGGAACTGAAAATTAAATATAAAGTTTTTTGTGAGACTTAAACATTTAAAAATCCGTCCACCATTCATAGAATAGTGCTGTAATAAGTGCTGCTTCACATATATGACTTAGTAATATTATATTACTTATTTTAAAATGATTTAATATTTTTAAAATATAAATTACTTAAATATTTCGCAGCAAGATTGTCTTCATTTTCCGGACTTAATCTTGTACTCTCAATTATATTCCATGAATTTTCATAATTAGAGAAGATATTAATCTGCGGGTTCTTTACAAAAGGACTCTTGTTTTAAAACATATGAAAATATTTTGAATAATATAAAGAGTCTGAATTTTTCTTAATAAGAATTAATAAGCCACCTATAACACTGTGTTACGAGTAGATATTTTTTCCTCAATATAACAATATTTTTTACATAAACTGTTTACAATTTAAGAATATGACGTGAGAAAAAAATAATGTAAATTTAAGTTATGTTCCATATAAATTAGAAGACTCTATTGAACTTCAACATGTGCCCTTAGTTAATTATCTGAATTGCATCTTATGCCTAGAACTACTGTGCTCAAATTTTAGAAGAATGTCCTTTTATAAAGACGGCGCCGTTGACATTTTGATTTCCAGACACATCAAATAAATTTGAAGTCTAGAACTAACATGGTAGGCGGAGCTAAAATAATTACATATATTATTACTGACCTCATAGGGTAGTACATTCAACATTATTACGAGCTGATGCAAGAAGCAAATTTCACACAACAAACATATATTTTCATTCATGAATGTCCTTTCCTATGAAAAACACATATTTACAATAACATATCATGGACAAAATTTTATACTTCTTATCGAATATAACTTCAATATGTCGAGTATTTGATTTGAAAGCACACAACACATTCTCTCTCCTCTCCAAGAACACGTACTTAACACACTCAGAAATTCAAGCACTAAATTTTGTTGCTGTGCAACTGTTCAGTTCTAATAGTACAACAAATTCCAAAATCACCGTTAATATGTACTGTTTTGTTTTAGTGTGGAAGGGAATTAGTTGATTATGTGTATATCTTGATGTGATTATAACTGGTGATGATGTCACAAATTTTATTTCTCACCTTGTATTCGCTCTAACGTCAGGATGAATACACCATATGGAATGACGTAAGAAACACAAAAACAATGTTCAGCGATGACGTCACCAGCAAACCTGCAAACATTTACGAAGGCATTAAAATCTACACAGGAAGCAGGACATATCTTAAAACCACAAGAAGCCGTGAATACCATTCACGAAAAGTTAGCACAAAATTTTGGGGGGTGACATAAATGAAGTATACATTTTCGGTAACTTTATCTTTAGTTTGAGTGAATAGGCTTCCATCCCATTATTATAATTCAGCATCCTGCTGCACTGAGGCATCATCCTTATTGTTCAAATACACCGTCAATAATGCAACAATGATGCAAAGTACACCTAAAATATATATTTTTCACTAAAATTGTAACTTTAATACTTTAAAATGTTATTAAATATCATAATAAGTCAAGACACTGCAAGTATAACTAATACACTAAAGGTGAGTATAAAAATAACTCAAAATAACAGGGCGTGAAGGCCCGAAGGTTTGTGAGACGAGGAGGCTCCCACATTTTCTCTAGAAAATCTGCTCACAGATGGCGGTTAGATTGTCAGCTTTACGCGCAGGCATCCCTTTATATCCAAGAATATTCCTGGTACTCATTTCTTCTAGAGGCTGAGTCGACCCCAGTGCCACATTGAGACTGGGAGGATTAGGTCAATTGAAAAAGAAATCCACCTCATCGGAGCTCGAACCACCGATCTTCTTGCTTAGTATCAAAACCAACTACGCTACCGCGTGCCCCATTAAGTCTGTACTGAAGTTGAAATAAGTAGTTATACCGCTCTAAAATACATAGGAACTTTAAGGTAAGCTTACACCGGAAATTCGTTTTCGCAGATTGATTTATGTTAAGTTCATTTCTTTCATTCAGGAGTACAAAACAGGTGACACGACACTGCCAATTCTACAAACACATTCTCGTTCTAATTAAATAGAATATAATGCATGATATAGGCCCTTTTTCCTTTTACGGATCACGAAACTCATTTCTATAAAACAAGTCGAACAATCAAGCAGGAAACTTCTTTGAGCAAGACTACATTCAATAGTCACCCCTCTCAAAAGAGCGAGTGAATACATATTTCGTGATATGATCACATTATTATTTTACAATTCCATGAAGTATATTAGATGACAGTTCGTCATATCATCAACAAAGCGTCCGTTTGTTATGGAATAAACAAATAACAAACTCCGTGGTTTTAGTCCGTAAGAGAACTATACCGACCGAGCGACCGCCGCTTGTCGGTGAAGTTAGTGCCAACTTTAGCGGATAGAGGGTGTCGCGTGACCAGCGCAACGAATCCCCACGGCCGTTAATCTCGGTTTGCTAGACCCGAGCGGCTATTTCCTTGAAATAACTCCTCAGTTATCCTCACGAGGCTGAGTGGACCCCGTTCCAGTCTCACTACTTCTCAGAAAATCTGGTGGCGCCGGGAATCGAACCCAGGGCCTCTAGATCTGTAGGCTGGATCTCTGACCACTAGACCGCAGAGGCGGTATTTGTTATGGAATATTCAAATAATTCAATTATTGTTTCTTTGTCTCAACACAGCTATCAAAATCTCTTTCATATTTACACTGTATAATGAGTATTTTGGTCTTAATGATATGCCAATGTGCTATATGTTTCGGCTTATTAAACCATCATCGGGCAGTACACACTAACATCTATTGAACTGCGTATTATATAAATTCTTATATTACAACATAATTATTATTAATATATCTGACTTCATACATAGTTAATATATTCAGTATTTCGTTAGAGTTAATACTATTCCTGTAAATATATTACAAATGTATTAAAGGTTTTATATTAATGGGTGCCTAAAGAAGTACACGAAGTAGCCTATAAGAAAATAAGACAATACAGAAATAATACAACTTTTAAGCTATAAAATACAGCCGGATGATGGACTGAAATGTTGTGCGTTATGTCGTGTTTAAATATCGCATACATAAATATTACTCATATTGGTGTCCATCATTGGAATTATGGCACTACAATGTGTTGTTATCTATGATTGTTGTTGTTTTGATTGTGGTCTAGTTTGTTTTATTTCTACTCCCATTTGACTTCCTTACGGAGAAGTCGCATTGTTCAGAACTAGCTGTTGTGATGATCCGCGCTGTTTATTTCTATGTTTCCTGGTCTGGTTTTCTGCTGTAATAGTTAATATGTTATTTAGAATAAATATTTTGTCATTATTCCCTTCTTGTTAGATTTAGTATTGGTTGGCTTTATTCGATTTATTGCTCGATTATTTACATTTAAGTTATATTTTCTACTTACTATTTTATGGGTTTATCCACCTTCCGTGTTTGAACGTCTGACCCCGTTGTATGTCAGACTGGAACTGGTCTTCTAACACGCGTTATGTTTCTCAATTTATAGGTAGGAAGGGGAGGGGAGGTTATAGTAGGGGTGTGTGTACGTGTGGTAGGATGGGTTAGTCTGGTTGTTGTTTTCCATTTCCTATATTTTGGTAGGCAGTTATTATTATGTCGTGTGAAAGAGTACATGTTTCCATAAAACTGTCGTTTAATTGCATGTTCTCTCTGCTGATTTCGTATATGTGAAATCTCTCATAAGCATCCAGCATCTGACTTTTCTTTTCTATTTGCGGGATTTTCACTGTTTTCTCCATTGTTACGTATTCATGTTTGGTATCTAGTAGACGTAATGTTGGGCACACATAGAGTTCTGTCCGTCTCTTATGTGCTCTTTGAATCTAGTTTTGAACGTTCGCCCCATCTGCCTGCCTAGTTGTGTGGACAATCAGCATATTGTAACTTATACACACCACTTAAGTTATATTTTTCGTTGCTCTTTTCTTTTGTTCTTAACAATTGTTTCATATTATTCTTAGTTCTATATGATATTCCAATTTCAGTATTCCTGATTAATTTTGTAATTGTTCCAGTATCTGGCCTGACGAAAGTGAATGTGACCAATTTACTGTTTCTTTTTGCTATTCTGTATCGGGTGTTCCTGTTGTGTGGTATTATGTGAATAATTATTATTATCTAGTACACTTTTTATGATAGTTTTTTTTTTGTTATTTTTGGTGTTGTGCCTAATTGGGTATTTATTCATTTGGTTAATGAGGATATTTATAGCAGTTTTTTCGTTGTGTATGATTAAGTCTGTGGTTGTAGGTGTACTACAGATTCCTAATTGTAACTTAAGATGGGCCTTTGCAATGGATATATCCAAGAAATTAATTTTGTTATTTACTTCCTCTTCTATTGTGAACTTGATTCTGGGTCGCATCTTATTGAATTCTTCTAAGCATTACTGATGTTAGTTATGCGTGTGTTGTATATGATTAGTATGCCGTCGACATACCTATGATAACTCTGATTTGAAACTTCTTCAAAATGTCCACGATTATTGTGTGTTAGCGGTGTTGTATAAATATTTCTATTAGGATTGCCGATGTTGGTGCTCCCATTGCTAGACCATCGTTCTGTTTGTACCACCTTCCATTGTGTTCGATATAATTCTGTTCTAAAATTGTGTTTAGTAAATTTATAATTCTACTTTCCTTTCCTGTGAGATGTTATAATTATTATCCATAATATTTTTCACTATGTTTTGGACTTCGCATATTGAAATATTTGTGTACAGGTTTTCAATGTCAAATGAGCGCAGTCATATATCTTCATTTGTTTAGATAAGCTTCAGTGAATAAGCTAGCAGTATGCTGGTATTCTGCACATTAAATGCTGTAAGACGTTGTGCAATATTATGTCTAGATACCTGGCTAGTTTGTAACCAGGGCTGTCTATCCAATTAATTATTGGATGTAGAGATTTCTCTTGTTTATGCAATTTTATAGCTCCGTGTAGGAAAGAGGAGAGTGGGAAGACCAAGGTTAAGATGGGAAGAATGTGTGTGGCAGGACACAAGAATTTTGGGTGTAAAGAACTGGATGAATGTAGCATCGAATGGAGAAGAATGGTGAGCAATCCCGAGGAAGGCCAGGGCTCACAAAGGGCCGTCGTGCCAGTGATGATGATGATGATGATGATGATGATGATGATGATAGCTCCGTGTATATGTGGCTCGCAGGGATTCATATATACTCGTACATATCTCCATTTGCTACTGGGTTTTATAATGTATTTTGCTATTGTTAACGCAATTCCGTATATTCTGTTGCTGTTTCTTAGTAATATCGTGTGATTTCTCCCCCCTCCCTTTGGCGCTACAGCCTTGGCTACCTCCACGAAACTTTCCGTTTCACTTCAGTTTACTATATCCTGGGCAATCGGTAGGATCCATTGGGCGTGTGATCAGTTCGTCGCAAGGCCTCTACCTCTACACAAACACAGAGAAAACGCACATACACAAATACCAAACATCCATAAAATAAGTGGGATCCGAACCCACGATCCCGACTTCCGAGCCAGCGAAGACAGTGCATGCCTTAGACTGCTCGGCTACCGTGACCGACCAATATCGTATGATAGTACTGTGAAATTATTGTTATTAATAGTTTTCTAATTTATTAATATAATTATCATTCTTTACTATAATTAGTGTGTTGCCTTTATCAGTTTTTGTTATCGATTAATTTCTGTTTAATATTCTTTATTGTGTGCCATTCTGTGTGTTCTCCTTTCGTGTGTTTCGTTTTTTTCTTTCTTGATTTTGTTTACTTATTAATTTTTGGATGTTATTTGCCACTAATTGTCTCATGTAGGCCTGGTTTTCCTCGGGTAATGTTCTTATAACTATGTCTGCTTCGAATGCTATGGTTTTTATCCACGTTTTTGGTTTACGATATAGGTTATATTTTAATCCTTTGTGAGGATATGTAGTTAATCTTCAGTAGATGCCATATCGATCATAAGAATTAAAAGTTTGTGACGATGGGACATTGCTACAAGTGTTATGTTTTTGGACATTATCCATCGTCTTGTCCATTTTAATAAAAAAACAGTCCTGTTTCTTTTTTAAAACACAACGTTCCGGAGACTGGATCCTGTCCGCGTCCTCAGGTGAAACCTGCTTAGTTGGGTCCAATAGATAGAGCTAGCCACTATCTCCGGCGGAACATCGCCTTGTGGCGACCCTGCCACCCACGGTGGCTGTGCAGCGGATCCCCTTTCTGGGAATTCTGTGGCGTACATCTTACCTGCAGAGTTCCGGAACCTCTCCTGAGCCAGTTTATTGGAGGTGAGAGCCCTTGCGAGACTGGGGAACACCGCCTTGTGGCGGGTCCTGCCACCCACGGTGGCTGTGCAGCGGATCTCCATTCTGGAAATGAGACCTCCCCCGCTGTTGATGAAGTGGGAGTTCTGGATCTGGAAGTGCAGCCCCACTGTCTTGGTGTGTAGTCCTTGTGAGTCAGTCTCATCAGCTCCCTCGTGGTACTCCCATACCCACGTGTCTGCCTGAAACAACAAAGAAATCCCTTGATGGTTAGATGGACAGTTTGATGGCAGACTCACTTCGCAGCAGGGGAGGAATTATCGGTATGAATTTGTAGCCATGACCACACAAATCAAAGGCAACCTCAAGTCAAATGATGCAATAAACTGAGGTGCACAGCAGAAGAATGGTTTCTCTCGCACCTACAGGCCCGATCGCCTAACTGAAAGACTGTAATGTGTGTCCTTGTTAGAGAGATAAGTGAAAGAACTTTGTCACCGCCGTTAAAAGATATGATGCCTCCACAGCACGGCACTTAAAGGTAAGATATTTATTGGGAGCATTTGTTTTCGAAGTTTTCATACATTGTCACTGGTATAGAACAAATTCTTAAATGTGTGTATTAAGGAATCCAAGGCCTGTATTCCTACTTATATTTTACGATTGCAATGCTTTCTCTACATGTTTATGGGACAGTTGGACACTGTCGTATTCTAACAGTGCTAAAGGGCAGCGTATTGGGATAATGTTTGAACCCAATTGAGGGGGAATTAGAGAAAGGGGGAGAAATCTTCATGATGAGAAGTTCTATAATTTATGCACTTCGCAAAATATTGTTCGGCTGACAGAAGCACGGAGGAAAATATTGTCACTTGCAGGAGGGTACCTTCACAATAAAAATATGAACGGGGTATGAAACACACAGTGGATACTTGAGAATTGCATATAATATTTGTTCGATAAACCTGAATGTGAGAGACCACTTGGAAGACTGGGTACAGATGGGATTATAACGTTGAAACAGTAATATTTAAAACCTGGGAATTTTATTCTATTTACCCATATTAGGACCCAGTTTCAGGCTAGTAAGGGCTCCGTAAAAGAAGACGGTATTACTGACCAACCAAATGACTACAATCTTCATAAGATGGACACTGATCTAAAGAGCATACTTCAGAATAAACATTCGCAAAAGCCTTATTGCTACTTGAACCGAATTTACTCTAACTGCTCTTTCTACAGCTTTGTTAGTATGTAGGTCCTTACTAAAACTATGCAATAGAGGACTATCCTTTCGATTATAATCATAATTATACTATCAGGGATGCATGTTATGTCACTCTTGGTTACATTGGCTTAGAATAGGAACTGATGGTTCTATAACAAACTTGCTTTCAAAGTTTCTCATAGAAGTGCTACTGAAAACAAGCAACGATAAATCACTTCTCAGCATCGAGGCCGAAATGATATAAATTCGCAACGAAACCTCTCGTCTCTTACATCAGCAATTCTCGAACTTTAAAACCAAATCAGCAGTGAATATACAGTATCGGAGCAGAGAGAACAGAATATAAATCACATTTCAGTATAATTTTAAACCAGTTACAAATGATTAAGGACTAATTTCATATATAATCAGGACGATGACTTCAATTACCGTTCAATGATAAAAGTATAATTCTTGTTTATAAATTAGATGATGAAGGAGCGCAAACTCTATTCATCACAATAACGATATTTTCATAATACTCGTATTATTAACAGAGCTGAGCTTATGTTGACCACATGTGTGTTCCAGTGGTCAGAGTTTCTGGCTACAGATACAGAGGTCTTGAGTTCGATTTCCGGCGCTATCAGATTTTCTGAGAAGTAGTGGGTCTAGAACGGGATCCACTCAGCCTTGTGAGGATAATTTAGGAGCTATTTCAAGGAAATAGCCGCTCCGGTCTAGAAAACCGAGACTAACGGCCGTGGGGATTCGTTGCGCTGACCACGCGACACCCTCTGTCCGCTAAAGTTGACACTAACTTCGCCGACAAGCGGCGGTCGTTCGGTCGGTATAGTTCGCTTGCGGACTACAGGCCACGGAGTTTGATGAACTTATGTCCTTGACGTAGTCTTATATGAACACTTGAGTTATCCCTTTGAGAAGTTTTCTCATATGTTTTCGCTGTTTCTCGATCGGAAAATACACGTACTTGGTTCGAATCAAGGCGGAAATCAAATAACATGAATTTGTTTTTCAAACATCCTACGAATCAAAATAACCTCTATATACCCCTAGCAGCCATATTCCTTCCATAAAAATTTCATATTCTTTCAGAAGATAGTCTTTTGGAATCTTCTAGTTTTACAAAATAAATTTCCTCTCCTATTGCTCCCACTTTGGAGCATAGGACAAAATTTTCAATTTGATGATTATTTTACAGACGGTAGAAATTCTTGGACTAGTGATCATCCCTTCGCAAGGCATATACCTAAACACAGGACAACACAGACACAGAATAAACGCATACATAAATGATCGCGAGTTCCGAGCGAGCGAAGACAGTTCAAGCTTTAGACTGCTAGGCTACCGTGGCCGGCTTACAAAATTGGTGATTCTAAATTTCTCAGTAAAGCTGGAGGTGGGTCCCAAATCGAACCATTTGCATGAAGGGATCGAGAACAAGTCTGCAGAATTACACGCTCTGCTGCTCCGATCTGTCGGGCATTGTGTGGGCACTGTTTGAGATCCCAGTACTTCAGAGACGTCTTGGGAAGAGTGGAGTAAGCTCCTAATGGACCAACCCGCATTTCAGCGTATCCTGATGGGGAAGAAGAAGAAGAAGAGCAATCTGTCCAGATTGTAGAACACAAACGTAACCCACCGCCAGCAGAAATCACTCGTTATATTTGTGTTCCTTTCAAAGTGACGTGCACTCATGACAAGAGGAGATATCCTTAAGTTTATAAACAGAATCTGATATCGAATCTTCACCACCTTTATATCGATAAATTATCTGTTCGATATTATTCTACTGGAAAGGGGTCCACTCAGCCTCGTGAGGATAATTGAGCAGCTACTTGAATGGAATAGTAGCGGCTCCGGTCTAAAAACCGAAATTAAATGCCGTGCGGATTCGTTGCGCTTACCACGCGACACCCTTTATCAGCTAAAGTTAGCACTAACTTCGCCTACTAGCTGCGGTCGCTCGCTTGGTCGGTATAGTTCGTTTGCGGACTAAAACCACGGAGTTTGTTTGTTTGTTGACATAATTCTACAGCACGTCCTTGTTCTCCATACTCCGCCATCGATCAGGGTTTGTATATACGCGTCAGGGAAGTTCAGACATATATGTGTAAATGGGAAGATATTGTTAGAATGTTTCATTATAGAAACAAGGTGTGATGTATAATGTACAACAAAATGTTTTTCTGAGTGCAACTAGTAAAACTTGATTTCATATTGCAAACTTCCAGTCCTACAAATCTTGTGTTGTTAACTTCGTCTCTATATAATGTCACCTTACCATTCAAGTACTTCTCTGTCTCCATAGTGACAACTGGGTTTCCCAGCAGAACTTTTTTTTTAAAAATTTTTCAATACGTGAAACGTTAAATATTAAACATTAAATATAATATTGTAAACAGTTGTCACACAAAAAGCATTTATAGATATATGAATTGTAAACGGAAACTGCTACACTGCAACGCTAACACATATCAACGATGTAGATGTTGATAATACGAAGAACGTGACATTGTGTTTTTAAATGTTAAGTTTTAGACTGGGTTCAGTGTGGCAGCAACGTTAAGAGTATACACCTGATGATGGCCGATAGAGGCCGAAACATGTAGTGTAGAAAGAACAAGATCAAAGACATATAAATGTATATTGTTTGCAGTTAGGACGGAGTTTGTATCATTTAACGTGAAACATGCTATGTTAAACTCTAGCATTATTTGATGAAGAGCGCGAACTATATAGCTCCACATTATTAAGTTTCGTTCAGCAATAGATATGTAAAAAATATTAAATACATAATTTTTCAGCAAATCAATTACAAATTCAGCAGAACATTTGCATCTCAATTATCCTCCAAGAAACAACGATACAAATCGAGACCTATGCATGTGAGCATTAAGCTTTGTGCAACAGCAAAATCTAGAAGACTAATTTGATTTTGATTATGTTCCATAAAGCATGAGTTCTCATATGAATCTAGAGATATCTGATTAAAAATCCAATTTCTGGGTCTGGAAAATTATTAAAATTAGAGTTGCTAAATAATATACATTTTTGTCCTCTTTGTATAATATTTCAATTTTTGTCAAACAAGACTGGGAAACTATAAAATTCAGGTATTCAATACACAAAGCAAAATATTACAAAAATCACCGGTAAGATATACGCTTTAATAAGTTTACAAACAAAATTGTAATTGTCTTTATATCTCATAATTCTCATAAATAAGCCCTGTCCTTTATGCTAAGTAAGAGTAAAGAATATATCGCAGGTATTTAAAAAGCAACGTCAGAACAATCCTCCATTTCTCTCTGTTTATATTATCGCGATTTATGAGCGTGTCGCTATAGACGGGGTGTAGACTAGTGAATGGATTTATTGACCACTTATACACACCACTCAGAACTACAAGTAATTACAGCACTATCGCTAATCTTCACACTTTACAAGCTACTATAGACTAAGTCTTCTCCAGAATGCTATGTCTTTACTAGCCTTTGCTTGGTAACAGCTCTGAACAATTGACATTCTTTACATTCTGTGCTCACGTCGTTACTCCTCGGTAAGAGTCCCACAAGGGAACCGACAACTGAACAACAGCGCCATCTCTTGTCAGCCTCTCGACAAAACTCATCTCACTCAACTGACTTGTTCGCCCCAGTTATCTTTCTTATAACATCTTTATACGGACCGACTATAAAACACAGTTCTCTACAGTAAATCTAAAGATGCGTGCGTATTCGTTGCCATGAAAACGTGTTTACAAATCCGTTGCCTAGTAACGGGTTTCATAACACCATTCTTTTTTCGCCTATCTGGCGATCACTGTATAGAAACGGCTGTACACTGCACAATATTAATTTTGAAAGAGCAGTTAAGAGGCTACATTGTAGGATTTGATAATCTCACAGAGGCTGTTAAGAAGCCTTTTCGCAGGTAGCAAACATCTCTACTTGGCATCATATTCACGCGGGTTTCTTGCTTAACTAATTCAAGGACCTGAATGTAGAGGCGAAATAATATTCCGAATCGTTGGTTGACTTTCAAAGAACTATAAAAGGTCCCAGAAGATATAACTCTTAAGAAACTGCGTTCATTCTCTAATTTCTTCTTTTCATTCCCTTTCTTTTACTTCCTTTTACGTTTACATAGTTAAAATATTATTTTTGCTGTACACGTATTTTTGTCGTGGGATCCGTTGCGCTGAGCACGCGACACCCTCTATCCGCTAAAGTAGGCACTAACTTCGACGACAAGTGGCGGTCGCTCGGTCGGTATAGTTCCCTTGCTGACTAAAATCACGGAGTTTTTGTTGTTTTTTTTTACATGTGTTTATACTTTTGCCCCGTACCTTTACACCTATTGCAAATATCATTATTACCATTATTAATTTTATTCCTTCTTACATGATATCCAGTTCGTGCTAAGAGAATTGGTTATAAGGTCTGTTTTCTTTGTTCTTTCTATATGAATATGACACTGCAATAGTTCAGGCTCTCCTCTGAACAGTATTTTCTTCGACTTTAAAGTATTCTGACGATGGTGTATGCTGTACAGAACTATAAGGTTTATTTTGGACTCTATCCATCGTCTGGTATATATACCCGGTCTACTCACCGGGGTTTGTCCAGTGATTGAGACTAGCACTTTCTAACGGGCCCAACTGAGTAGGTCTATCTTGCCCCATCCACCTGAAGACGGAGACAGTTCCAGTCTCCGAAACGTTGTGGTTTATTGTCTTATATATACCAGACGATGTATAGAGTCCAAAATAAACCTTATAGTTCTGTACAGTATTTTCTTCGTCTACTGAACCCTTCCATTCCAAATCATTAGTCTTAACCGCCTACTGAAATTCGTTTCTGCTGATGTCACGTGATATCCCGGTCTCTGCTTCAGTATCCAACAAGGTCACTGAATGTCGCGGCCCTGTATCGAAATTAGGAGATCTATTAAATTCTCAGCTCAGGGAGAGCTTAAACTGACAGGTTTTCGGCAATTTTCCTCAGCACCTCAAAGAAAATTCCTGCAGAGTACTTCAAATTATACCACAATCACGACATCCAATATCCTTTCAAAATTTATTATTCACAAATGACCCCATTATTCAGCACTGTGCAGGGAAATGAGCTTCCGAAGCGTCATTAAAAAACCACAAATAAGTAAACAACGCAACTTGACAAGGCTTCATATCCTCAATAATATTTAATTAATTTGAAACGTAATGTTTTATGTACATAGAATGTACGTACACCCATCAAGAGATACTTTCAACGTTGCGCGGCATCCTCGGATATGACAGACGTTACGCGTTATTTTCTTCTTATACTTCCAATTTGGTTTTACATACTAATAATTTGTGCCACTTAATAATTTCCTTACTCCCTTGTTTTGAATTTCTTTGGATGGGTTTCAGAACTTTAACATTAACTTAACTAACTCCGTGGCTTTAGTTCGCAAGTGAACTATACTGACCGATCGACCGCTGCTTGTCGGCGAAATTAGTGCCAACTTTAGCGGATAGAGGGTGTCGCGTGGTCAGCGCCACGAATCCACACGGCCGTTAATTTAGGTTTTCTAGACGGGAAAACTTTAGCATTAGGCATCTCTAAAAGTGTTTTTTTTTTCAGGTGATACCAATGAATACACGATACATATCTAACACTTTCTTTTATTGTTTGAGAAACATATAATTTTCGATGTTCATTTTAACTTGTAGTGTCAAAATTGCTTTAGTCTGATTACATGTACAAATAACTTTTCAAGTTGTGGCACCTCTGAACCCAAACCCACTTAATGGAAGTATTTTAATTATTACAACATATTCTGGGTTTTAAATTTAAGATGAGTCTGCGGTACGTAAACTTCACAAAGTACACAGAATTGGCGCGAGAGACATCCGTTCGTTAGAAACAAACAGGAACACGAAGGCCTCTTGACTTCCAGTCACTCAGCAGACCCTTTACACAGCGTGGCTGTTTAACATGCGAGTTGTTTACGTAAGAAACAATGCCCCTGCCGTTCTTTCTGTTTAATTACCGTCTTGTCTGATACAGTACTTCCTTCCTGACATCATAGCCTGCGTCCAACAACTTGCTCAACGAGGCGGAAGCCACCTGAGGCTACAGAGCGGGGTTCAGTCTCTCTTAAGATAAGACAGGCTCTGGTGGGAGGTATAACTCACGCTTGGCCTAATATTTTGGTTCAAGCACTTACTTATTTACTCATGGAGCTGGGCCCTTCTTGAAAAGCCCCAAATTCTCCAGCTACTTAAGAATTTCCCAGCATTTTATGAAACCCGAAAGTCCATTACCGTGTTCACAAGAGCCCTCCACTGGTCTCTATCCTGAGCCAGATCAATCAAATTCATACCATCTCATCCTATCTCTCTAAGATCCATTTTAATATTGTTCATCCGCGTACGCCTTGGTCATTCCAGTGGTCTTTTGTTTCTGGCTATCCCACCAATTTTGCATTGTCACGTTTATACTTACTGACATAACGTTCCTTGTTGGTCTATTTAGGTCTATAGGCTAAATATCAGTTCAGAGAGAAGGCAAATATAAACATGGATACTTATGCTATATTTCGATGACCGGTGACCGTGTATGTCTGCAGGCTTTAGTAGATTCCTCAGTTTCTGCTGGCGAATGCAATAGTACAGTAAATGAGAAATGTGTGCTTCTTCCCCTCTAAACCGCACATTTATTGAATTCTTCCAGTCTCTCTATCCAACCTTGCCTCCTTTCTCCCTTGTTTCGATCTCCTATTTCATCCTCTTTCTTTCTTTCTTTCTTTCTATTATTTATCATGGCAACCTCTTGTTGTGCCTGAAACCTGAGTAGCCTTTATCTCGAGTTTCTGTTAAGAACGTAATGAAAATTTGACTGAGCTTCTGTATGAATATTTGTGGCGTGAAACGATTGTCTGGGGTAGAAATGCGCTCAAATCGACAGTACTTACCTGGGCGCCGTTGATTTGCCAGGCAAGGACGGCTGTGGGACTGGATTTTCCCGACGTGCAATTCGCAGTTACGTAATCACCGATGGAGTATGCTGACAGCACTCCTTCGATCATTGGATCCTCTGTCGGGAAAGCTGGAAACGAGAACAAATATTTATATTAACAACTTTATTTTAATGGGGAGTGTTCTGCCTCGAGGCCAATTACAGTGGCTTCGCGATTTGAGGCATGAATCGACTTCGACCGCTCGAACACTGGGGTCGTGAGTTCGAATCCCAGTCGATACATGGATATCTATGTGCGTTTATTCTGTTTGTGTTGATCTGTATGTAGGTAGCGAACTTACGACGGCTGATCCCCCGTCCAAGGAGTCCTGCAAACTGTGTGTAGGATTAAGAAACTGAAAAAGCAGCTGACGTCCAAAGGACTGTAGGATCATAGGTAGACAGAGATTTTGTCTCGAGAGCTGATAATTGGAATAACACCAGTAACATCACGCTAATGATGGATCCTTCACTTCGGAAGCTAAAATTGAAAAAAAAATACGTGTATATTATAATGTCTCAGAAATATTAATATTGTGTGTTCTGCCGGGAAAGCTGAAAATGGGAACAGGCTATTAGATGAGTAACACAATTTTAAAACTAGGGCCTACTCTCATACAATGAAGTTCTGTCCTTATATAAAAAAATGATAACAAATGCATAAGATTTACGTTCGCCAATTTTGATATTCGGATACACAAATGTCTTTTGTTGAAATTTATCTCGAATTTGCTATTGTTTTTCTTCTGTTACAAAACGATAAATAATGAAATATTTTCAAAACAATTTTTAAACGATTCGAATTTACATGAAGGAAATGTGGTCTTTTTCTCAAAAAGTCAACCTTAATTCCATCAGGCATTATTTAGTGAAGACCTACAAAGTGACCACTTTCGGTCCTATCCTGCTTCTCTCGGTTATAATTACGTTTCATATTTTTACGTTCATTGTCACCCGTTTCCTGTTCTGATTTTGTTCTTCATTCATCCGTAGGCTGTTCTCAATTCCTGTGCACTTCCGTTTCACGACCCGCCTCACACCATTGGCATTCCATCGATTCTACATCGTTTCGTTGATTTTATTAGGACGTTCTATCGATACTCAAACTGTATGTCTTTGTGCTCCCGCACTCACTGAACACGTACTCCATAAAATATATGGATCAGTTGTTTTTTGTAATTTGAAGCACTTCCCACTATAACCTAGTGTTTCGATATTCGTATAATCGCAATGTACATATACGTATTTAACAAATTTCAACAGAAAATGTACAGAGATATCTCAGCTAGAAAACGCTAAGACCTGCGGACTATGGGTTCGATTCCGGTTCGTCACTTCGTCAAATTCTACTCTGTGTACTTTACAATAAATAATTAGTTCAATCACAGGGATAAAGCAGCCAAAGTGTAGAGGTGATCACTGAGTCTATCTAATAAAGAGGTTGAAGACGTGTGGAGTTTGGGGATAGAAGAAATAATTTTAATATGACAGGATATCAGGAAAATTGAAAATAATTAGATTTTAACCATTTTAAATGTTTTTACTTTCAACTTCTCAGTTTTCGTCCATAATACGTATTTCTGTACATTTTAGTAATGAGACGCAATATCACATCATCAAAATGAGTTCAGTGAATACAGCGACAGGATACGCCCACAGACTGATGGACAGTAAGGAAACAAGGAGACTCGAAAAAGTAAGAGTCGCTTACATAACACTTCTGAAACTTTAAATTTAATCCCGTTCACTAACACAAGGCAACGAAGTGGTGAATTGACACACTCGCGCATTCCTGAAATCGCAGTGCGCCTTCAAAGAGGTGATTAGAGCACACGCCACACAGATGTGTCGGAGAAGTTGCCGCCTCTACAGTAAAGGCGCTTCGGTATCAGGTTTCTTTACGAGAATGGTCATTATTTGCTATCTGGACGTTAGAGTTTACAGCAAGAATGACGCGATTTTAAAATATAAAACTTTAATATACATGATTATATGAGTTTCAGTACTATAAATAAAATCTGCTGTAGGATTTAAAGTTCATACAGCGATCCTTTTTAAAGAGTTCTACCTTCTGGCATAGAGCTACCTGTAGTCCGTTGCAAGCCAACGAAATACACGGTGTTATATTCTAGAAAACGGAACTCTTTTTTCTAGACTGTGCTGTTATTTATTACAACTAATCCTGTTCATTCTCAAACAACTGTAATTGGGCGATGTATCTGTAATGACCACAAAAGATTTCAATTTGCTGATATAGAACTTGAACAAAGTCTGCATTCCAACGTATGCAGTAGTAATACAACCCCATTGCACCATCTTTTCGCTGATATCATTTATGTGACTTTCTTCATGTACTTTAATTAAACATTAAATAATAGACCTCAAGCGAAATAAACCGACCGAGCGACCGTCGCTTGTCGGCGAAGTTAGTGCCAACTTTTGCGGATAGAGGGTGTCACGTGGTCAGCACAAAGGGTCTCCAGGCCGTTAATATCGGTTTTCTAGACCGGAGCCGCTATTTCCTTGAAATTATCCTCACGAGGCTCAATGGACCCCGTTCCAGACCCACTATTTCTCAGAAAATCTAGTAACTCCGGGAATCGAACCCGGGACCTCTGAATCTGTAGCCAGGAACTCTGACAGCTAGACCACAGAGGCGGTCACATTGAATAATACACAATTAAAGATTTCAGTTGGCGAATGTCATTCAACGGCATACACACTGAGTTTCCTCTGCAACTTAAAGAAGAACCCAACATCTACGGTCTTAGTAGGGCGCCACGTTCCATCACTTTGTTTGCTCTGAAGAGGGGAGATAGTTGCTAGGCAACGCAGCCAAGAACCACTTACTCAAGAGCTAAGAGAGAACGGCATCTAAACCAGAGTTTATGTCTCATCCGCTATGAGGAAATGAGAAGAATAAACTGCCTAGAAGATTCATTTTAGGTTTTAAAGATCACATCTTCGGCAGATGTGAACGAACTCGTGTTATAAAAGAGAAGGCTTCTTGAGACTGAAATGTAAGTTAAGAAGTAAGGTTCATTACAGTCTTAAGAGTCATCATCATGACTGGCAAAACAGCCCTTTGGAGCGACAGTCTTTCTGGGAAGATTCTCCCAACTTGCATCCTGGTTTCTCTTTTTCAATTTCGCAGCAATATATTTTTTTAGAGTAAGGTCGTCAGCCTTGCGTCTTACCCCCAGCCTGGAGGGCCAGGTCCCTGTATTTATGCACCCCACTGACAGGGAGACCCAGTTATGTCCCCAGGCACCGGGTTCTCTTTTCGTCGCCTCCTATGACTCGCAGGACTAAGGTGGATTTTTTCTAACCTGCCTCCACACGGGGATCAAGTAATATTACGCAATGAAGGGAATTGTAAATACTGAGGTCAGGTTAATTAAATACACAACAGAAGACTTTAGTGATTCGTCGCCTTTTTATTTTTTCATCTACTATGCGCCTGTCTCAGAAATGATAAAATTCTGCACATGTTTGATATGCGGTAGGATACCATGAACGGGGAGCCAGCCGACTGTAATATATGTCCATCACAGGGTAAAACGAAACATAGAAATTCGACGACAAACATCTGTAATTCTAGCGGCACTCGAATCAGGAAGCCTACCAACAGCGCAATAGGTGCTTTATTTTTATAAGTACACCGCAACCATATTAATCATCCATCAATATAGAATATAGGAGTATATTCAATTTATACAATGTTTTCTAGCTTTTTCTGGTCTCATCTTCCGGTGACGTGTATTTGTTTCCATGGCTTTGGGGAGAACCTCATAATGAGGAGCTCTGTAATTTTTAAACTTAGCAAAATATTATTACGATGACAAACTCGAAGAGGGTGGAAGAAGCAAAGCATAAAACGGGCATCAGAGATATAAAAAAAAAAATAGTCTTCCCAATTGTTCATTTCTCCGTTACTAACAGGTTTCGATATATCAGAATCTTCCCCGCTGATATCTGTCAGATATGTACAAAATCTTTGTTAACCTACACACGTCAATTTGATTTTCTTAAACTGGCACTTTTAAAATCTTGAATTCCAATTTTAAAAATTTCTTTAAATTTTTTTCTTTCAAATTTTAAAATTTAGAATTCACAGGGTTACCCGCCCTATGTCTATAGTGCTGCAGCGGCTACTTCTTGTTTTCAGCACTGTTCAGGTATTATTCTGTGTAGGCTCCCTGTGTGCGTGCCGCTGCTTTTCTTTAATACGTGTGTTACTACCTTAACAAAATCCCTAGTGCCTACTGGTTAGGAGGATGAGTGGGTGTCAGGAACGCTGTGAATGGGCGGAAAATAAAATAACGCTCTAAATAGGATCTCAGTTTGTGTCGTCCACTTTTCTTAATTTATTTACCAGAGTTTTGGAGCAGCTGCATGCACCATATGTACACAAATGGGGGAAAGAATATGAATAATTATTTCCGAGGCTGTAGAAGCAGAGGTCGTAACCGTTTTCATAGCTGTTCCAGAATGTTTCAACAGAAATTATTACAAATTCGAAAATACACGCCTTAGTTTGAAACACAAGACATCTGGGCTGCCATTCAAACTCACGATTGCAGAAAACACAACGTAGAAATCTCAACCAGACAATTGCGCAGCTTGCTCAGCCCTCAAGCTGTCTCCTTACCGACTGAACTACTCAGGTACATCTACAAATTGTCGTGAATCCCTTAACGGAACGACAGTGGTTAAAAGGGATTTGAAACGTTCCGATATACGGAACCACAAAAGCATCCAGACTGACGTTACGGTTCGTTTTGAATCCACTGAAATCCCTCGGGTTAGTAAGCCATAAGTATACAGAGGGACTCAGTCGTCAGGGGGTTCAATACAGAGAGAATCCCACAGTGTGTAGTGATAAATCAGGATTAGAGTTAAGGAAAATCGCCTTCATATACAGGCTGCGCCGTGAAACGGGTGTCGCACAGACATCACAACGTGAGGCGCAAACCTCGCGTCCTCTTCACCTGACACAGAAATGGCCGCCAGTAGACTTCAAAGTTTCACGGCGATCTACTAGAAAAATGCACTGACCTCGCAGCTTCTGTGGATTTGGAATGT